GGATTAGCAAATTATTGAGATCGGATAAGGATGAGATAGGCGGGTAAAAGTTGAAGAAAGAAGCACTGTCGAGACAGTTTCCGAAAAACAAAATCCAAAGTAGTAACGATAGAGGAGGGACAACGTAACCGCTGCCCGACGATGGACTAGTGACTGCAGATTGAAGGTTACTGAAGGACCGTCAATTAACCGGATAGCCTTTCGCTGAATCCGATCAAAAAGTGAAAGTGAAGAAGACAAAGTTTAATCCTGTATATGACTGCAGTATTCGAGAATCGGGCAGATTTGATTTTGGCACAGTAGATGAGCTGGGGTATCTGGAGCGGAATGAAAGGCATTCATGCACGCAGCAAGCTGAGTTATAAAAGAAGACAAGCACAAAGTGAAGTTATGGTGAATCAATGAACAGGAAATCATAATGTAGAACGCAGTTGAGTGGGATCAAAAGATAAATACGGGCGGGGGGAGCGAGAGAACGAGAAATGTTATAAAGAAATTGAAAAATGGGAGGTTTTAGAACCATTTAATGGAACATGATTTTCGTTACCCCAGGAGGAGATGTGTTCGAGATCAGATTGCAACAACTGCATCGTGGGTACAATGATGAGGGAGCAGCGGAGGGCAGTGTCATCGGCAACAGAATGGCTTAGGTTGACAGTTTCGGAAAGATCATTGATAAATAGAAGAAATAGGATGGGGTCAATTATTGAATCTTGAGGAACGCTAGCATTCACATGGCGCGGTTGAGGTAGAACCCCACCTATTCAGACGGAAATGGTTCACTTACTGGGGAAATTTGATATCCACGAACCGAACGCCGGAGGGAACAAAGACATGATCGTTTTCTCCAGTAGATCTTTTTTTCCTTCCGCTTGGCCACTAGGTTACCTCTGACGGTTGGTTTCACATCAGTACCAGGTGGTGGCCCAGTGGTAACGTCACCAATTATCACCCCGGAGGACGAGTGTTCGAATCCCACCACCACCGCCTGACTTTCCCCATTTGTGTGTTGTATGGCAGCCCTCTGATTGGCCGCTTCCCCCTTCCTGAAAATTGTATCTTTGTATATCCAATAAAAGGAAGTAAAATGAAAAAGAAAAAAGTATACAGCGTTTTTCCAAATCTGCCATTGAACATAGAATGTCGTCACAGGGATCACTCCCTTTTTACCCATATTCTCCTTGATTTCTCGTTCTGACTGTGTAAGTACTATCAAAATACTGCTCGTAGTACTTTTATTAGTCCAATAGTTAGCGATTGATTAAATGGGAGGTGATCTGTGTCACACAATATAGAGAAGCCTTCAAACCCTTACGCGGTTTGCATGACCAAGTTCATTAAGTACAGTTCTCAAATCTTCACAGTTCATCGGAGCATACACGCATTGGACGTGGTCAAACCTTCAAGGTGCCAATTATACATCAATCTCCAATCCAGCCGGTGACCACTGATACAACCAGGAAGGTGTGAGTGCATGTAAACCTCTTGGTTGGTTTGAAACCAGGGATTTTAGTCAATTCCCTTGCGTGAACGTCCAGGGGTTCACCCACCCATTAATAACCCCCGGATATTGACTTTTTGTCCTTTCATTTTGGTGGGGAAACACTTACCCCACCACGAGAAGGCAGTAAGTCGGGCTTCCTCAAAAGAGGCTATCTGAGACGCTTGGTCGTGTATGGGGGCATTTCGCGAGGTGCAAGAGAAGGATGACCAGCAGCCACCCTAGACATCCACTCCCGACCATACTTGTGCTAGGCGTTCAACCTTTACATTGGTCGTCTGGGTGCTTCGCTATGCACCACCCTGGGTACTTCACGGATTGTCAAAACAAAACAAAAATAGAAGTCGATGTGCGCGTTGCCGAGGCCACAGTGTGTTACCGGTACCCGAGTCCCGATCGGGCAGTCCCTTGAATAGGTACAATTTTGTTGGCTGCGGAAACATTTACCTTGTTTTTGGAATTCTCGGCAATGCGTAGTCTTGTTTTAACAATCTCTCTGTGAATGGTAATTAAACGCCGTTAGTCTCCATTTCTCGTGTAAGCGTAACCATCACATTTCCGTATTACCCAGTAAGGCCTAATCGGACTGCTTCATCACTCATTCCACTTTTCCTGTACGGTCGGTCGATCGTCTCACGTTGCCCAATGTATGTATGACAATGTCATGTTTATCCGCCTGTTATCCAGAAGCAGAGCCGTGGATTCCCTACCATAACAGTGTTGATCATCTCCCAGGTTGTTGTAACAATATTTTACGTTACTCACTTGCAAGTCGCTACCTCTTCCACATATTTGTTAACCTATCTGGGTTTTACTTGGCACAACGCCATCAACGTGCTCGAAATCAGAAAGCTTTTCACAATTTCACTAAGCTTACACAAAGACAACCGTTTCCAAAAAGTTATTCTTTAAACATTTCTATTTCAGTTTTGACAAAGTATGCACAAGCTTTCATCTCTTCCCCTCCCCCCCCCAAAAAAA